GGCCTGGCGCTGTGCGCTATCATCCATCGCTTCAGGCCTGACCTCATGTAGGTGGCGGGGGCAGACTCTGGGGTGCAGGGTGCCTTCTGCTTTTGCAAGGGGGTGCACCCTGTTGCCAGCGTAGGTGGACCCTGCGGCAGGAGGAGGGTGCTAGGGGAAGGGGCAGCCTTGCATGAGACATGTGCGGGACCGTGCAGTGCCCTCTTATGCCGATGGGTTGTGGGGGCCTGTTGGGTGAGCTCTGTGGAGGGGAGGCCCCTCTGACGGTCTCCACACTGCCGTGGATGCAGTTCCTGTCTTCCCACATGGACCAGCCACCCCCAGGATTGGGAATCATGGAGGAATTGCTGTCACGCTTGCCTTGCTGTGGATAAGTGAAAGGAGTATTTGAGTTTTTTTAATGGGGTATGATAGGTTGGAAAAACACAAGGCTGACACCCAAGACACTTGTTTGTGCAGCACTGCCTGAGGAAGGAATAAGATACTTTTTGCTTCAAGTTAGTTTTTAAAAAATGGAAATTATGGATGGTTTGGTGACTGTAAGAACAGCGCAAGGAGAAAGCAAAGCAATCCCTGCTGTGTGTGGAAAGCATTTCTCTTAGGCACAGCTCTTTTTAGAAAGCTGAGAGAGATTTATGTTCCTGAGTTAACAGACCTCCTGCAGTTTTCCTAGTATTGTGCTTGTATTTTTGGCTTCATGTATTGGATGGGACAGGTGGAGGACGCAGCCGGTTGAAGCCTCGCTGGTCCCAGTGTGTTGAGTAGAACTGAGCACAGGCTGGGGCCGTGGGAAGCACCACCTCCGGGTTCCCCCTTCTCAAATGTCCCCTCGGGATCTGGGAATATCACTACTGAAGGGAGCCTGGCACTTCAATGGCAGGTAGTGGTGAGGGGAGTAAATTCTTTGGGGTTCATGAGCTAATGCTTCTTTTGAGAAGGGAACTGCCCTGTCCAGAGCTTAGTTATTTGTTTAGGTGTTTATTTTAATGACACATTTTGGAAGTTGTTCAAAGCAGTGAAATTGTAGAGCAAGTCCCATAGAAAATAGATGAGATAATGTGGTTGCTGATGTGTGTGATGTGTGTGTTTAGTGTGCAGTTAAATCCAGCCATGGGCAGACAGGAGCACCTTGTTTAGAGGACATATGTAACAGTGTAGAGAGGCCATAGTGCATGTGCATAGCACTCTTGATTCCTAAAGGTGCTCTTGGCAGCTCCGATGGTTTTTCAGAGCAAACCCCACTGATGCCAGCTCCTTGTCCCCATAGCGACTTCGACGCCCTGAAGGAGGAGGACGTCGTCCAAAACAACCAGCTGGCGTTCGACGTGGCCGAGCGGGAGTTCGGCATCCCCCCGGTCACCACGGGGGAGGAGGTGGGCTCCGCCGCCGAGCCCGACAAGCTCAGCATGGTCCTCTACCTCTCCAAGTTCTACGAGCTGTTCAGAGGGGCACCGCTGCGGGCCGTGGGTAAGCCGAGCCCGGGCACCTCCGGGGCTGTGGGGAAACGTGGTTTGAGACCAGGGTTTTCTTGGAGGGAGGAAAAAAAAAAAATCTGTACATATATGCTAAGCAGTCTCCTCTTCGGAACAGATGCTGGGGACAAGCAAAATGGAGAGAGTAATGACCTTTGTTCAGCAAAATCATCAAACCTGATCTTCAATAATTACATCAATTTAACCTTACCAAGAAAACGAGTACCAAAGGTAAGTTGTGAGGGAAGGGTTGTCCTATAAACCTCCCTCTTTTTAAAAGGCAAAAAGAAGCCTTCAGGCTTAAAAGGAAATATTTTATATATTCAAATCTTAAAAGTCCCATAGAAAGATATTCGTGAGCATATTAAAAAAGAGTAAAGCAAATAAATCAAGACTCCCCCCTAAACAAAGCGTTATAGGCACCCGCTTTTGTAAAACTAAATCTGAAACATTGTCGCTCTCTAATCAGTGAAACATTGATAATACTCCCAATTAAGCATTCCTCATAAATGAAAAATCCATAATCCCAGTGAGAATTTGGGTTTAGTTGGGTAGCATTTGCATTCATTCTCCATGTCAATCCTTCTTAACGTAAATAAATGTAAGGGCGAGTGTTTCATTTAGTTTGTTTATAAGTTATATTTTTTAACTTGAAACAATCCAGAGCTTGGCTCCAATACTCATATTTTCTTTTTATCTTTGCTTTTTGAAAACTTTCCAGCAGGTGTTTTGAGGAGATTTTGCACAATGCTAGACATTGTTTTAGAGATTTTCAGGAAGATGTGGGAAAGGAATTCTTCTAAGCATGGTTATTGATGTCTTTAAGAAAAATAGTAGTGTAGTTTTATATTTCTTGAGATACACCTTTAGCCAAGATATTATATATCCGTTCAAATAGTTACTTGAGCTCTGGAAGGGTTATTATTGGGGGCGGGGGGAGGAGGGCGGGAGATGTGGTGGCTTTTTATTGTTTATTTATTCAACTAAAGCTGACATTTTGACAGTTAGTGGATGTTCTCAGCACTCTGGTTATTGATAGTCAGTTTTGAGGGGGAACCTTCAAGCCCTCCGTGGATGTAGAAACCCTGCGGCTGCCTATTCACTAACTTGGTCCTCTTCAGGACTTTGCTTTCACAGTGATGCCTCCCTTCATTTTGACTTCATTCTAAGTGGGGGGTGTGTGTAAGAACTGGCTCAAGGTCAGCAGCACCAATCCAGCTGCTGCAGCTCTACAGCACCGTGTACTTGGCCACCAAATTGTTCATTTCTGTGTTCTCTGAAAAACAACTTAATCCAAAGCTGTTTAATGTCTGAGTTTCTTGTGCTGCCTGAAACTGCAGAGCAACCATGATGATTCTGCAGTCGTCTCCCCCCCACTTTTTTTTTATTTAAACAGACCTCCTTCGTACTTAACTTTATTACTTCCTTATGCAGTATTTGCCAATGCAAACACTTGCGAAAGTACACATTTCCCACTCCTTTTTAACTTTAGTGTCCTTGGGAGTATATAAAATTGGGAGTATGTCTACGTACTACAGTTTTCACTGTTTTAATATATTGCTTTTTAAATTTCTCTCTTATTTTCTAAGTTTTTGAGTGAGTGTGTGTGTGTATATATATATGTATATAAAATATATATATAAAATGTGTACTTTAGTTATTTGTGGATCATATACAACTTATACAACTTCTTTTTTTTTTTTTAGTCCCCTGAAAAACTACTCTAGAATGTCCAGGTCTTTTTCACTGACTTATGTCTTGAATAATTTCCTTTCATAAACACATTTTCAAATCCTGTGGAGTCAGTTGCTCAGTAACCTCAGAGGTCTTTGTTAGGAAATAACTTCTCCTTGCCACCTATATTTGTGCAAACCAAAGGGACAGGTTTCCCTGCTAACCAAGCAGTGAGAAACCAAGTAGGCAAAGTAAACATTGCTTTTTCTTGTGGTGACTTTCTTAGATTTTTTTTTTTTTTGTGGTTCCAATGTTGTTGTTTTCCCTGAGTTATTCACAGAAGTAAAGAGACTGCTGGACTGTTAGTAGTGAGGAGAGCTTTGCATTGCCAAGTCGTGCGGTGCTCTGACACAAGGGCCTGCCCTCTTGCTTGGCGCTTCGCTGGGCAATTGCACGGCTTTGCCTTTCCCTTCTCTGTAAGCCAGGTAATTAAAGCCCTCTGTGTGAGGGCTTTATTCACTCCATCAACCTCTGCTTTTATGTGGTACAGGGTATTATACGGAATATGTTGTACTGTTATGTTGTTTGTTCATGCTCAGGAGCTTCATGATTACAAGTAATGTTGAGCTGGGTTAGGGAGAGCTGCTGCTGCTTGAAAGGCCACGCACCAAAGCACACCAAGTGATCAGCATATCAGCATCTGATCCATTTGGGATTTGCCCAGAAGTTGTTTGGGATTGCTTCCATTCACTGCGTAATGTTTTATAATAAACAGTGAACATGTAAAAAGGAAGCCTGTATTCTTTGATCTCTCTTTATCCTATTTTTTGTGTTAAACTGGCTGTGCAATCACTGAGTTGCAGCATGAGCAAGTGCAAATGACTGGGATGTAGTTTGCTGTTCAGAAATATAACCTACCATGACACATATCAGGCCAAAAAGCTCTCCAAGTCATAACTACATATTTCATATAGTATATATGTCATTTTTTCCTAAATTGTGCCAGCTCTTTAAAACTGAATGTAGTAAGAAATGATACAAAATTTTAAGTATTGACTGTTTTGAAACTTTGTGCAGACTGAGCGCTGTATGATATCTCCTTCAATAAAATAATTAAGTACATGTATTGCTTGAACACGAAACACAGAATTTATGTGCTTAAGTACTATGTAAATCCACAGTCAGGGGGATGAACATGATCAGGGAAACAAACCTGTGAGGAAGATAACTGCTCCAAAGTGGATCCATCTCCATGACGGATGGGTGTGCAGATACCTAGGCAGAAAGAAATGGGGAGGCAAGAGCGTGAGAGTGACTATTAATTGATTGATTGTTGTCGTTGTTGGGATTTTTGTTGTTGTTGAGGTTGATTGTTGTTGTTAGGTAGGGCCAGGAGGGAGCCCCTCGGCCCATGGACCTTCTGCTCACGTTGCTCAGTGCTCGGCCAGGCCACGTTCACCTGCTTGTGAGAGTCACCGGTGTGGAGGGATGCAGCTGGGTGCAGGGAGCAGCCATGGCAGTAATCCACGTGCTTTGCTTTCAGGTCGAAAGGAAAGCAGAAGAAAATGAGACTAACAAAAGACGTCGGAAAGGGCTTTTCGGTGCCTTCGAGGAGGTGGGTACCTGGCGGTGCTGGCGCAGCCCTGGCTCCCAGCTGAGCATCCAGGCCTGGCCTCATGGGATGGTGGGGGGAGGTGGGAGTACAAATATCTACCGTCTTAAAATCCTGATTTTTACCATGATGTATACTGAAAAATAACTAAATTGCCTTCAGGCAGTTGGTGGGCAAGAGGCTGTTACCCAAGTTGCTCTGGTTTTGGGGCTTTTTTCTGACCCAATAACATCTGATGCATTGTGAGTTGGTTTGTTTGTTCCTTTTCCCAACTCAGTCATTTAAAGAAGTTTTTGTTTAAAGAGTTTTGAGAAGATTTGCATTGCTGCTTGCTTCCTGCTCCTTCTCTCTGAGTTACTGGTGATAAACTGGGGAGTCACCAAGTACCAGTTTGTATTCCCTTTCTCACTGTGCTCTGGGAACAAAGCGAATTTAGTGACTCTTGTACACTGAACTGTCTTATTTTAAACAGGAAATTGTAGACTTCCTTTCCTTTTTTGCTGGTAAGGATGTTATTATCTCTCTGTCTGTGTCTTCATCAGTGTCATGTACAAGCATGAGAAAAACAGTCTTCTGGTTCCTTACAGGCTTCAGGTATTTCAAGCCAAGGGTCAAATTCTGGGAAAGAACCAAGTGATGGTAGAGAAGGCGCCAACCAGAATAAAGTGAAATCAATGGCAACACAGCTCTTGGCAAAGTTTGAAGAAAATGCTCCAAGTACAATTTTTCGGAGACAGGTGGGTTATAAAAGAACATATCATGTTTGAAACTAGAACTGCAGTCCCACCCTGTGATCATGAAGATTTCAGAGGGGAAAAATGGATTCGTAATGTGTCTGAAATAGTGTTTTTTTTTTTTCTTCTTCCTGTACTTTACACAAATGAAATGTATTCCTCTCAGTGCCTAGGGAACAAATGTGACCAGCCAGGATATAGATTGCCCATTGCTTATTTATATACTGTATATTAGTAAAGCATAGCAAAATAGTAGTCTCTGGAACACTCTGGTAGGTCTCTCTGTAGGTTTCTTGCCTGTTTCTTGCCTGTGCAGAAGTACTTCCACCCGCCCTCCTGCCCCCATACTGTAAAGGGCACTAAGGTGGTAAGGTCTGTAGTAACCTGTCTTTGTAAGCAACTCTAGTTTCTGTCTTCTGAGAAGGATCTTGGAAGTCCTGTTTACTGTCGTCTTGTTCTTTTTTCTTTTCTCCCTCCTCCACTCTGTCTTTGAAACTTGAAAAATGCTTTACAAGGAGCTAGTAGGTAGTCCAGCCCCACTATCTTCTCCTGGCCTTGCTGCTAATCCTCGCTTTGCTAAAGCTAAGGATCCGAGTCTTCTTCCACCGCAACCGAAAAGGCAGGTAGGAATTCATCAGGGTTGTTCTTGATAACCTGATTTCTGTTTCTCTAACTGCTGGAAACTCCATGTTGTTGCTTAACTACAAAATACATAAAATTATATGTAATTTGCATACCTAACAGCTCTATTTAGCATTAGTGAAAATTACACTGAAGCTTGAGGTCATTTGTGCTTCCCTGACTAGATGAGAAGATCATCTGCAAGAATTAGTAACTGCATGTAACATGCACTAAAAACACATGGCTTTGGATTTTGGTGTCATTGTGCCCAGATTTCAGACTGTATGGACATTGTTGTGTATCTACATCTTGTATCCAAGAAAATCACTGCAGTACATGAAAAGAGCCCAAGCATGTACTCAGCACTTTGAGCTGTTGTAGTGATAAAGGAAAGGGAGTTTTCAACCCAAGAAAACTGACAAAGATGCATAAGATAAAGCCTTGAGCAATCAAAAGCTGGGATTGATGCCCAGACTTTCTATATCTTTAAACGGAATTTGTAGAGAAAATCCCTGCTGGAAGCTATTTCCAGTGTCACATACACAGGGCAAAATTTTCTAATATCTTAGAAATATTAAGAGAGAAATTAAGAGTGATATTGGTATTCACTTTATATTTTAATTTCAAAAGGAAGTGAATACCGTATAGTGATATATTAAGTATAATCTGTAGCAAAATGAGATCTGAATTAAATGTGGAGATCTGCAGACTGGCTGAAAAAAAATTCATAATCTGGTGATGAGCTATTGAAGGAAGATGTGTATTACATTGTATCAGCAGCACACCATATGTTGATTGACAGAATATTTTTAAATTTTAGAAATTTGGAAAATTAAGGTCTTTACTCAAGATGGTCAATTGCAATGAATTAAAAGACTTTGGACTTTCCAGCTGGTCTTTTTATTTTAAAAACTGAATTTAACAAAGCTGAAATGAGCCTGTTGTTTCTTGTACTTCAAATGTCACTTTATATGCTAGTGCAAATTCAGAGCCTTACTCCAAATTACTCAGTAGGTGCTTTACATCTGAAGTACATTTACATCTGAAGCTTGACTCAGGGAAGAGTAGCTACTGTTGATGTTTTTACAGTTTGATTCCTTACTTTAAGGCAGACTGTGGCAATGTAATTTACTAAAAGCCCTAGAAAGGGAGATGATGTCATGTCCTTTTTCCCTGGCGAGATTTTGCATCTTTTTCATAAAAACAGAGAGTAACGTGTAGAAGGATGGCAAGACCCGCAGTAGTGGTGCAGCACTAACACATTTCAGTGCATGGACACGGGCATGGGATGCAGGGCAGGCAGCGTAATGCAGAGAGTGCCGCAAGGTTTCGTTGCTCACTGTGTGCATGGCTGTGCTACGCCTTAACTAGCACCCTTAAAAGCTGCGTGCTGCATGAGAGTGCCAAAGGCAGGCTTCTTCACTTCATGTTTCCCAGTTTCAGGTGGTAGCTAGGCCTGAAGGCGAGGTCAGGGAACCCAAACAGTCTTGCAGTGGTCCTGAGCAAACAGCCAGGAGAGCAAAGACTGTAGGAAAAGCAGAAATCCAGCGCAGTCTTTCAGAAAACTCTGAAACTCTCACGTCTGCCAGTTCTGCTGCATTTGTACTTTCTGGAGTGCTTGAGCGTCTTCAGCACCTGGAGGAAAAAATGAAACAGGTGACAAGCAATTTCTTTTTCTTTCTGTCTGTTAAGTGCATTTATTAGTCGGTATGCTGTGTTTTCCCTGGACATGCTGGCTTTTTCTCTCCTGATTTTAGGTTATATTGATACAAGTATGTCTTTCTACATTCTTGTTGTGTTCTGACAATATATGTGACTTAACTAAACTCTCCTCTCTTTTTCTTTTCTTGCTTTTCCTTTCCTGCCTGTCACTGCAGAAAAGGGCTCAGACCATAGCAAATAGGGAATTCCATAAAAAGAACATTAAAGAGAAGGCAGCACATCTTGCTTCAATGTTTGGATGCATGGAGTTCCCAAAGGTGAATATTAAGTTTTGCAGCTCCAGAAATGTTAGTTAGACTATATGTGTGTATGTGTGTGTGTGTATATATATATATGCATGTGTGGTTATTTATATAACATATATATAAATAAATATGTATATATAATACTTTGAAGGGGTGGGGTGAGGCATTTCTGTATTTAAATTTCTTTTCATCCTGAGTGGATCTGATAAGTGGTTCAGATTCCAGTGCAACTGGTAGCATTTTGTTTAAATACCATTGCAAAATTGGATTGAGGTCTTGCACAATCATCAAGATAGTCAGAATCAACATAAGAGAAATGTGGTATGGAAAATCAGGTCTTGTGCTTACACATCTGCTGGGAGCTCTCAGAATTTCCCATGAATTGGGGAGCAGTAGCTCCCCATCAAGTACAATTCAGTGGTTAGAGTTTTGCTCTGTTCTCCCCAGGAAGTAGTTTTGATGAGAGAACCAAGTATGATGGTTGCTTGCTGCCACTGTTTTGCCGGGCTTCTCACTCTGCCGGAATACACAGCAGAATTGGGCAGATGCTATCTTCCTGACTTTTTTTTCCATGCATAAGTTTAAAAATATCTTCCTAACCTCTGCTAATGTCCTTCTCTCTTGGATACTCTTCTCTGTTTCTGCTCTACACAGAATAAGCTATCTAGTAAAGGCCTATGCCACACTCAGCCCCCAGCTCCCCCTTGCCTTCCTCCTCCTCACGACTCATCTGCTGCCTCTTCTCCATCACCTGTCGGTTCAGCTCCCCGCGCTGCTCCTTCCAAACAGGTACTCTTAGTCACGGGTTACTCCTGTAAAACCCAAATTTGTGCTAATGCTTCTTGAGGGATGGCTTACTGCTGCCTTCACACAGAGGGGTTGTTGCATAGTCTGTCTTTTGCCTAAGAGTGAAAGCTTGCTCTTTTCCCTGCCCTGTTACTTCTGCATGTTTGTAAGAGGAAAATAATCGTTAAAATAATTTAGGTAGACAGCTGAAGAGCAGAGCAAGTATCTTTCAGAAGCTGAGCAAAAATCCTGTTAATTTTGCATGACTGCTACTTTTTAAATGCTTTGTTTTTAGATAATACCCTGGACAGGCCTTGGAGGATGAGGTGCTTAACACTGTGTAGCAAACTGGATCATATGGGGTTGGTTGGTTGGGCTTGAGCAGTATTTGTCTTGGTTTTCCTAGGAGTATCAGCCTAGCCTGAAGGGAGCCTGAAGAGCAGCTGGATGATGGTGATTATTTTAAAAAGAGGAGACATGTTATGGTTGTATGAGTAGGGGGAAAAAAATGTTCTTCATTGAAAAATATAAGAAAAATATCAGATCTTTTTAGACTTTTCAGCCCCGTGGCAGGGAGTTGGGCATGCAGCCTCAGCAGTAGCCGTGCGGGTAGGTGCAGAGCTGCCCTGGAGCACTCAAGGCATCCTGGGGTCTGGCATGGATGGTGGGAAAGCCTCCCATCCCGTCTCGTTCCCTGGGAAGACACCAGCTCCAAAGCCCTTGGAGGGCACCGCGAGCCTGGCAGGCGCTGCGATAACCCCCAGTCCCCTGCAATTTCATCTGAATTCACCTATCACTTTTTGTCACTCAGGAGGTATTGCCTGTGCCAGGCTTTAGGTTTACAAAATGGTTTAGAAAATATTACTGCCTGTTGTTCACTCACATGAGAGTTTTGTCTCTTCTTTTTACCACTTCACACTTTTCAGTGTGTGGAAGTTGTCGCATACTCTGTAATACACTTACTATAACAATACAGCACTATGTAAATAATGTTTAATAATATCTCAGGTGCACCCTTTCAACTACTGTGTATGCTAATTTAACAGTATTTTTTTTAACCTCTCTGTGTTCAACTTGTTCTTATGTGCAGGTTATTGCCTGTGTTCCTGTTATTTTAAGGGTGGGTTTATAGGACTCAGAATTAGCATTTGTGGTCTTTCTTCTGGCAGGTATCATTATGCAAGTCTAGGCTTTGTAACAAAAGCAGAGTTTTGGGATGGGTGAGCCAGCAGAAGGACATCCTACATGTGCAGCTCCATGCATCCTTATTACTCAGATCCTCTAAAAGGAGATCCAGTTAGTCCTCAAGTCTTCTGCTTTCCACCTGCTCTGCTGGTCAGGAGCAACAGTTGTTGTGTTGGTAGTTGTCCATTAGGAAATGAGAGTAGCCAGAAAGCTTTTGGCAGCTAGGTTAAGTTGAAATTCCTTTTGCTTTCACATGGAATGTGCATTTACATTTGTTACAAGAACGCTTCCCTTTAATAATATTGTAAGCGTATATGTAAGCATGCAGTTTTCTTGTTTTGACTGCTTGATGTTGACACAGATTGCTCTAATGGGTGGAGAACAGAAATCAAGCAAGCCTGATTGCTGGGGCGAATTGCAAGGTGTAGTTCAAGCTCAGTGATACTTTTCCTGAGCTTCAGATACTTGCACTTTAAGCACCAGTTGCTTAAGTGATTGCTTCAGCGTGTGACTAGTTCAAGGTAAACTTCCTGCTTCAACTGACTTGCAACATTCTCCTGAACTTAGGAGCTTATGGGGCAATAAGCAGTATGCAGCCTAACGTTGCTCAGCATATTCCCAGGTGCAGAATTTAGGGAGGAGAAATCGGTCTTCTGTAACCTTAAATAATACGAGGGGACTCGGTTTTCTTTTAGGAGCAACTAATCTCACTCTGCTATTGGATTCTAATATAAATGTACAATTGAGGATGGCATTATAGTATACAGTTGTGAGTTTACTTTGTTCTTTTTATCCAATAAGTTGTGCAGATGTTGAAAGACATTTTAATAGTCTTATATTAAATAATTTATATTACATAAAACCAAGCAGTACAGAAAATTGTCCTTTGAATGGCCTTTTTCATCTTAGTATGCATATTTTACATCTTTGAATATTAAAGGCTAATTTCATTATAGGATAACACTGAAAACATGCTTGGAGCTGTAAGGTCCTGGACATGTTCCCAAGTTCCTTAACTTGAACTTTTTTATTAGCAAAAATATTTTTATATGTCAGTATTTTTAAGGAAAAATAGCTACTGTACATTATCACTATGCTTTAAATTTCTTTAAAATGTCATAAATGCCATTGCCTTTATATTTTTCGTCTTTCTTCAGAATGACTTTCTGATATTTAAAAACTCTTCAATTGACAGGAGTTGGGTAGTGGCAGTGGAAAAATCCTTGCATTAGGAAGCTTGGGGCTTAAAATTTGGCCACTGTTAGGGACTGATCAGGTGCAAGATGTGAGATCACGGTTTCTCTAGGCTGGAAGGAGAAAGTGCTGGCCTCGTGTCTGGCTGTACCAGCATTACTTTTGCAGCCCTTTGGGTTGCCAGAGAGGTTGTGAGATCTTATTTTGGCTATAAAATCAAAATCACCACTGTAAACTTTAAGGGTAGCAAATCTTGCCATATTTCTCTGAAGCCTTTGCAACCTTTTCTTGGTGAACAGAGAACTAGAGACCATTAGCTCATGTGTCCTGGAAAGGTGTCCCTGCTGCTGTGCACGTCAGCACTGAGGCACTGAAAGTGCTAGTAACTTCTGCACTGTGGCAGAGCAAACCAAACGCTCTTGATTGGAAATGGTGAGGGTCTATCCTGTGGCAGCAGATGATCGTTTTGAGAGATGCTCTATTGTTTTATATCTGCTGCAGTTTGGGCTGAGTGTTGGTGTAAGTGACGATGATGATGATGATGCTCTGGTGACCTGGCCACCCCAGCACACGAAGCGGCACCTCCCCTGCAAGACACATCCACATGCACAACCCAACACGCCTTCTCCTGCTTTCCAGCCCTCGGGAGGTTTCCATTGCGAGGAGGGCTGGCCGAGGTAGCCCGTGCGCTGTCCCCCATGAGTTTGGAGCCACAGCCCAAGGAATCTCCTTGCAGGCCCCTCTCATTAGTTTAGTTAGAAATAGTCTGACACTGACACTGGTGAAGCAGGTAAGGGAAGCGTGTTCCCTTCTTGAGCAGAGTTTCTCAGGTGTTCCCTACTCTTGAGGTGAGGCACTGTTAAGAGAAGAGTGACTCCTACTAGAACATTAACAAAACAAGTCCTTATGGGACTTTTAGGGCATTTTCCTAGAATGTGCTATAAAATGCCATGGTTTGGGGGGTGGATGTTACAATTTGCCTTTTTATACCCATTTTCTGAAATATAACCCAGGCTTCAAAAATCCAGTGGAAAAAAAATATGTATTTTTAGTCTATCACAATGATCCCATCTTGATAGCCATTGCAAGGAGGTTGCCTGTTTAAGGATCTCACACAGGCTGCTTCATGTGCTGTCAGTACCTCCCTGCTCAGCTGTTCGGTGCCTTCTGCGGACACATTTTGAGACGTTTTGCTGTTTGAGCTGCGTTTGCTCCCAACTGCTATTTCCCCATCATCCTCCAGAAGAAGTGTCCAAGTGTGAGGAGGCCTTTCCTTGTGTGGCCACCAGCTGGGCCATGCTGATTATGCATGAACTTGCTTATGCTCTGCTGCCCTTTGCATTCATTTGCATGTTTTCTTTTTTGTTGTTGTTGTTCCTTTCTCATTCAATTCTTTTTCAAAAATAACTAAAGCTCTTGCTTCAATTCTTCATCTTCTCTCATTTCTGGTTAGACGACTGTAGGAAAGGTGTCACGTGCAATTGGAGCTGTGGCTGAAGTTCTTGTCGATCTGTATATGAATGATCACAGGCCCAAGCTTCCCCCCCTTGAACGGGTAAGGCTAAACCCACAAAGAAGCAATAACTTGACTTAAAAGAGCCTTATTCCTGACTGTCATCCCAGCTCAAGCCTGGGTTGTGGAACACTCCAGGCATGATGAAAGGTGCTAGGCCAACTCTTATTAAAAGATCAGGTGCAGATT